GTCTCGAGAATTCCGACTAACTTGTCAATCGAAATTTTCTCATTTTCAGTAACTTATCTGTCACATTCTTCACTATCCGTAGCGGTATGTTCTGGATCTAGAACCATACTACGGATTTTACCATTCATGATATAAAAACTTCTTTTATATCATCTTCATTTATTACAGCTTCTCCACATTTCTTTACAAAATTCGTTAACTGGAAATTTTCACCTTTGTTTTGTGATATCCAAAAACCTTTAAAATTAGCGGCTGTTATCATCAAATTTAGCTATCCTTCACTATACATATTTGGCTATGCATCATGAGCTTGGCGACTAACCACAAATTGTTCCATTAAATTTTATCTCACTTCTATCTCGCACTGAGACAATTAAGCCTGAATTGTATTAATTTAGTTATTTATTATACTTATGTCTATTTCTCGCACATGCTTATGAGTTATTTTTAACTTATAAGCATGTGCGAGTTAGTTATGATAAATAAATTCCCACATATACTTAAGCCTTATTGAGGGTCGGTGCTAGATATCTCAGTGCCTGATGCAGTGTCTGTAAGTCCTAAATTCTGAGACTCGGCACGGCCATACCAGCCCTGGCGCTGGTTCTGGGTTTATGTGAATAACAAATGAGTTATTCTTAATTCAAATAGCCCTAAATGTAATCTTTGGGTCTATGAGTATCATCAACAAAATCTATTTTTACCATATGGAAAGAAATTTTTGGTAAATTTTTCCTCAACATATTTTATTACATTTAACTGAAATCTGTAATCATCACGAAGTGTACTGTCAACATAAAAGGTTACCACACTCCTTTATTATTCAAATGCTAACATAAAAAAATTATTTAGGCATCGCTACATGAGTCATTACTCAAGTTGTCATGTTTTGATAAACATGCAGTAATGAAACGAAAAGTATACTAAATAATGATTCGCCAGGCTGACGTCAGATCAACGATGTATCTATGTGGGATGTTTCGGTTTGAGGATGTGTGCCAAGCAAATACATAGCAACAGAGTCTAATTACTGATTGTACAAATTTATGCTAAAGTGATTGTTTCGTCAGTAACAAGGTATTTTATTTAGTTTCAAAGTGAAGTTAAGAATCTGGATTCTCCAGATGTTTTATGCATGGAGGGGAAAATCAAATGCGTATGCGTAAAGTCTACGAGAAAAATTTTGTTGGTGGTTTTGAGGTATGGATTTTAGATCATTCTGGATAATAGACATCCGGATTTCAGACTTTGTACTGTATTAATCTTTTTGTTGTGGCACGGCAACTTAGAAAAATTCTGAGAGAAGATTCTTCCAGTTTCCCAAGGATCCTGTGAGGCAAAAGTTTTAAATTTATAGGTATAAATTATTAAGATTTGATTATTATATTACTGTTGTATCCTTGTAGAGTAAATATGCCACCAGTTCAAAAGTATTGAACCTTTGATTGGCAAAAATACATTTATCAATTTGGCAGTGGGAAACATTAATTCCTTTCAAGGTAGTCTCCTGCATAATGGATACCTTTCTCCCACATTGTTGAAAATGCCTCTGGAATGCAGTTTTTGGAATCGTGAGCAGTCATTCAGTCGTCTTCTTTTGACTCAAATGACATGATGTCTTCTTTTGACTCAAATGACATGATGCCTTCTTTTGTCTCAAATCTAGTTCCTTTTACATTTTCAGTTTGGCAAATGGCAAAAAATCACACGGAGCCATGTTGGGTGAGGAGGAAGCCTGATGAACCACAGAAATGATGTGTTCGGCAAGTAAAGCCTGAATCAAATGTGCAGATTGGGCATTATGATGGAGCTGCCAAGTTTTTGCTGCCACAGATCTGGCCATTTGCACCCTACAGCATCACAAAGGCAATTGGACTTGCAGAGCGTACTCACAATATGCTACACTACAGGAGTCAAATAATACGGTCATCAGGGCTTTGCTGTGGACTTGCCATATTTTTTTTTTTTTTGGTCTCAATGACGGATGTTGCCATTATGATGACTGCATCTTGGTTTCTGGATCATACCTGTACACCCATGTTTCATCGCCTGTGACCATGGTGTTCAGAAAGTTGGGTTCATTGTTACCATTGTCCAGCATGTCCTGTGTGATGTCCAGACATCATTGCTTCTGCTCCATTGTTAGCACCGACAATCTCTTCATGCCCAAATCCTCCGGCAAATTTGGTACCCATCCAAGGGTCTAGGACTTTTCATTGTGGATGTTTTGCTGTCAGGACGTTTTGCCATGAAGACTTATTTTTCTTTATATTGCTGTATTAAATTTATTTAATTTAATAATTCTGTTTACCTTTTGTATACTTAATAAAAAGTTGCTTGTAATGTATATAGTTATTTACAAGTATGAGATATAAAAAAATTACACACAGTTAGTTGGAAAATTATGTCAGTATCAAAGAGAACTGGGGCTAAACATCTGTTATATCAGAAGGTGTACAGTCAAAAGTCGTTAATTCGGGCACCCATAATCCGGACCTCAAAGCTAAAAAATTTCTGTGCATGCGGCGCGTTGACACATGCGCATAGGCATTTACGCGTGCACGTAAGACCTTTACGATTGCGCATATGCGTGTGCGCAAGCGCAGAATATGTTTTCGCGTGCGCGTTTTATGTATAACGGACGGTATAAGCTAAAATTATCTAATTATCTGCTTCAGTTAATGATGATGATTGCGTTGTTCCTTAATCTTCGAATTGGATCCGGCTTATTATTTTTTTCAGACTGTAAGAGCAATTTTATAAAAGTAAACCTGAACTTTCGATTATGTCAAATAGAATTTCAGATGCTGGAGCTCCCAAAGGATCTACAAAAGGAAAGTATGTTTCGATGTCCATCAAACAAAAAGTGGAATTGCTGCAAAAAATGGATAAAGACATGAAGAAGGTGACAGATAGGTTAGTGAAAACGAAAAAATTTCAATTGACAAGTTAGTCGGTATTCTCGGCACAGCAATTACGGAACTTGAACAGCGGAACTTTTTAACTGAACAAGAAATTATGTCTGTTTATAGAATTAAATAGAAAGTATTATCACAAAAAACGAAGCAACTTAAACAACTTACATTGAAAGAAATGTTTAATAAAGTAAACAAATAAATATTAAGCTTTTTTTTTTTTTTTTTTTTTTTTTTTTTTTTTTTTTGTAAATTTTGATATCCTTTAGATCATAATTGTTCTTTATTTCATAAATTACGGTTTCATATTTTTAATTTTAGAATTTCTGCATGCCATCTTACGAGATTTAAACTGATGAACTATAATTTGAAAAAATCGATAATCCGGAATCGCTGAAGTCCCGACGAGTCTGGATTAACAACTTTTGACTGTATTATCTATTTCAAAATTATGCGGGTACAATATTTACATGATTTGCCAAAATTTCTTGAAATTTTAATTGGCTAATTCAGAAAAATCACACATACAGGCAGGAAATTCACATTTTTATGAAATCTGAATGGAAAACGGAATTGCTTTGGAATCTTGTCAGCACATTACTCTCTTAACACTTTACTGACCGCTAGCAGTTCAACATCATATGCACGTCTGACCAGCCGCTCAGCCACAGATTCTCCCTGTCCTGAATAACTCAGGACAATCTGATGAATCGTCTAAATAAAACTTTTCAGTACCTTTTTTTTTTTGCTCATCGTGAACGGTAAATTTTTTTTAAATGGTGTGAAAATGTGGGAGTTTAAAAAGCAACGCACTTAATGCAAGTGGGCAATGTACCTTAATACTAATAATAAAATAAAATGCAAATGATATAGCAAATGGCAATTGTTTATCGCCGTGGCTACCAATAGATAGTTTATTTTTAGGTAACCCCAAGAAAAAAGCCAATAATAAGTTATCGGTTGGTGGGCATTGGTGAGAAAAAGCTGACTAATAGGCTAACGGTCAGTAGTCATTGGCAAAAAAATCGATCAATAGGTGATTTGTCAGTAGGCTTCGACGATATAAAGCAGATTAATAGGCGATCGGTTAGTAAAGTGTTAAAATTAATATGTCATGTGTAATTGTGTATTTGTATTAAACTGTGCACAAAAACATTTTATTAAATTAAATGAAATTATTAAACTAAACAAAGTTATTATTTTAAGTCAACTTAATATAATATGGCAAGATATAATACAGTTGTGTAAAGAAAAATATGTCTTGACAGCGAAATATCCCTACGGCCATGGCAAATAGACCCATTTACCCCATCCAATGCTTACCTTTGTCTCGTTCGCAATTCCTTCAATTGTGATACGGCGATCATACAAGACCAGAGGCTGCACTTGCTCAACGACATTGCCATCTTGGCTTGTAAAGGGCATACCTGAACAGGGTTCACCTGTCCACTGATTTGAAGCAGATATTTGATGAAAGAGAAAGCTCATAGCATCATCTCCGAAAGCCTGTTGAACCTTGTGAATGGTTTCTGCTTGAGTATTGCCAAGCTTTTGGCAAAATGTGATGCAATATCACTGCTCAAGTTTTTCAGTAATTTTCAAGCCATTCTGAAAACACTGAAATCTGATGGAATGCTCACTATTTATATTCACTCTTTGTCTGACTGCCAGCAGCTGATGCTCTTCATGGGTGGAAAAAATTCACAAATGAACATACATGTCCCCTCTGCATCTTATACTGAAGAAAATCTCCTACAGTTCATTAGTTTATGCAAAGGGGGGGGAATAGGTTTGACACTTTTTGAACAGCATGATGCATGTTATTATATAGTTCAGTTAGTCATTTATTTTGCAGTAACTACTTTTTGGACAAGTTGTAATTTTCCTTTTTGTACTATCTTAATTAGATGTTACTGCGGATTTAACTACTTATTAAAAATTATTATAAGTGATAAGCATTTACTTAGCATTGTAATGTGTAGCCCAGTTTTTAATTAAATTATTTCATTTAAACTATGCTACATCTTATGAGAAATTAATTTATTGGATCAAAGAAAATAAAATTACTATTTTCTGTCTTTACAGATCAAAACAGTGGACTGCTGCCTGCAGTAGAGATCTGCTTAACAAATCTCTAGATGAATTATACAGAACAGGAAGTGTGTGCTATATACATTGCATTGTAAGTGACTTCTGCTTGACAAAAATGCACTACTTGCATTCCTGTGCAGTAGCAAAAAATAAATAAATAAATAAATAGGCAAACAGGTAGCTATGATTCTGTATATTTTTGTAAAATTTCATATCTTGTTATAATGCATGTTATTGGTCTTGTATTTCAAAGTAAATTATGCTAATTTTACATTTGGCATTCAACAAATAAGTTATTTTTGTCTAACTTTACATTTAGAATTCGACAGATAGGTTATTTTTGCATAGTTCAGGGATTGGTCAGTAGTGCTGGATGCTAACCATTTATTTTTTATATGTTCATGGGTGTCAAGAAAATTGCTTTTTGTTAATCTTAACAATTGATTCACAAATTTAATTTGATTCTGAAAGCCATTTATCATTTAAAAAATTTGTAAAGCAAAATTATTTTCCCCATAGCAATTATTGTAAAGTGGATTAATCTATTCTTGGACCACAGGTGATTACTTATTTAAAATTTACTCCAGTACTTTGTGTACAAATTTGCAACCTAAAGGCCCATCCACATGAATACGCTCGTGACGTAGTTAACACATTTTTTTCCCCACAGGCGTAAATTTGCATTGCGCAGAAGACGTAAAACTGAGTTCGCTCCTGTTCAGCTTTTACGTCCGTAATGTGAACGAACAGCCAATAGCCAAACGAGTTCTTATCACGTGTCATAATTGGAAAATCTTCTTGCTTACCTGTTTCAGTATGGCGAGAACCACACAGAGATGAGTTTTTGCTTAGAAATATCATAACTGTATAAAGCAATAAAAGTTTCTACGAAATCAAAGTTTCTGCCTTACAAAATTCTCCTTAATTATTATAAATATTTGCTATATCATGTATAATTAAAAGCTCTATAAATATCCCAATATTAAATGCACCAAAACTTCAATATAACAACTTCTAAAATTAAATAAAAAAATTAAGAAATTTTGGAGGAAAGTTACAACTTAGGTAATACGGCAATCATTTATTGAATATTAATTAAATTACCTTTGCAGTGACTTCTACATGTTACATTATTTTTCACAAACACTGCTATCACAGTTAGCTGAGTGGTCAGCTCGCTGCATTGCAAATGGAAAGGTGGCGAGTTCGAACCTCACTCGTAGACAGTATATAATTCGGTTAGCTTTTCTCTTTTTGAAACATGTTTCTTATATTTAATCGTGAATCATTATATTCTTATTTTACCTATTATTATTATTGTTTTCCTTTCCTATTTTATTCATTATTATAATTGTTTTTAATTTAGTTTAGAAATGTGCATTGCAAATAGAAACCCTTATGTAATGATATATCTGCATCTCTTTATCATATATCATCTATAAATTTATCTGTTTATTTTTACTTTATTACATATTTATCTGCACATAATTTCTCATAAACTGTCCAAAGTTAGAACCTCATTATAAATTCAAAAATAAATCAAAAGAAAAGACCAAGGGATGGGGAGTTTAAAAAATATGAAGTTGATTTTATTATATGTTGGATGGTGTATATAAAGAGAATTAAGTAATTTAGTTCTCTTTATATACTGTATTACAAACCAATTTTTTAAATCCTAATTTTCATACAATATAGAATCTGCAAGTCTGTCAAACTGGTTGATACTTATCCTGAAGAAGTAATTAAAAAGCAAGTAATATATAAAAAAATTCCCTTGGGTCAATTTCTACTTAGGTAAAAAAAAATAAATAAATAAAAAAATAAAAATAAACAGAATTTTTTTTAATTAAAAATTTAAAAGATTTTAATATGTGAAAAGGTTGGTATTAACATCAAGTGTCATCCACTACAAGTTTAAAAAATTGTATTTGAACTTGAGTGGATGAATAAAAAATATTTTATTAACGACTGAAAATTTGAACAAGATATGTGGAGAGTGTGAGCTAATAGTAGAAATTTAATATTTCCGGATATTCATTTTGCAAATGAAGCAGTAAAGAAAAAAAAATCTCTTTGAACAGGTCGCTCTAAATAAATCTTTCGGACCCATTCTCACCATTTTTTTGCGGTTTTGCCTCTGCTTAATGATGTAAAGTTTCAGCTATCAAAAAATCATCTGATTCGAACAACTTGCCGCAATATAGAACCACAGCAAAGTAACAAGATAAAGCTCCATTGACGCTATATAACAGCGCCACGTGATTTTTGCGCAAAATAATTCTATTGGTTAAATGCACTCTTCGCAAGCGTACTCATTTGGACGCTTTTTTGCTGGTAACGTAAAAGCGCGTTTGTCAGCTACATTTCGAGCGTAGTTGTGTGGATGGGCCTTAAAAAGCAATGGAAATCATTAAACATAAACACAATATTAAACAAATGAAATAGATAAAACAATGAATAGGGAAAGACTGTTGCTGCTTATGAAGTTGTAGCATTTTTTCCTGGTTGAACTAATTTTTTATGGTCCTCTAGTACTCCACAGGCTCATTGGAAACTCCTACGCTCAAGCCTAATATATGTAGCCTACAATATCATAGATAACAAGAAAAGTCTTCAATGTCAACATCTTGAAACTCTACCTGCAACACAATCTGTCTATAATTCCTTTCAAGCCAAATTCATAAGTCACTACTCCCGGACATTTTAAATGAGAGTTAAGCAACAGCAAATATTAAACTGATGTTTACAGAAGTCTCTGAGTGTAAAACATTTTGTGTTTGAGGTAACCTCAGATCACTTCTGATTCACTTCTGAAAATCAGCTGCCTGACTTTTATAATGGTTAGCATCGCGACTGCCATGCCAAAAGTCACAGGCTGGAATCTTGGAAAAGGCATGGGTGTTTGTAAATGTAGTGTCCATGCGACATGGAGGCACTCTAAATATGTGGCGAGCCGAAAATCACAATTGGTGGTGGAACTGAGCTAAATCATATTGTCACCTGTAAGGTGCTGAAAGCTGTTGCCAGCAACATTCATAAACTTGTGCTTCTTTCCATGAGGAATTTCATGGGCTTGCGCTTACTATAGGTCAGACAAGTGAGCATTAGCAACAACAGCAACAAAAACTTCTGAAAATAATTTTTTGCTAACTTTAAGTGATTGTAACTCAATACTATTTGCCTTCCAAGGCAATTTTACTCATTATTAATAGTGGTATTCATGTGAATATAATATCTGTGTTGAGTTTATATCTCAGTAAGCTGTATTTGAATGTGTGTGTGTTTATATAATTTTAAACGTTTTATAAGCACGTATGTGGTAATATAAAAGTGACAAGACAGTGGAACTGAATTCCTTATATGTGTGTTTTTTGTGTGAAAAATATGATGTTTCTTCTTTCCTAAAGCAATTTAAATAAGTAACTAAGGTAAGACGTATCATTTGCCAGAAAGCTAAAAGAATTAAGATGTTATTTTTTTGTTAGTTCCACAACATTAGCTGACATCTTTTTATGCAGAGTTATGTCACATTGTGCTCACGAAGTTATAAACTAAAGTTTCACTACCAGTAAAGAAAAACACAGGCTATAGCACTATTCATAAGGCAAAAAGCAGCTGAAGAATTATTAAAAATTTTGATTGTAATGATAAGCAATTTAAGAATTTACAGCCTGCAGTAGAGTTCAGCTTAACCCTTTGCGGCGCACTATACGTTAACGTCGCAATTTCAACAAAAAAGTTGTATGCAGTCTATTTAGTCCTAAAGAGGTATACAGGTAAAATTTTGTAAAAATTGCACTTACCGTTTTAATTCTCTGTTTGTTCCATGAGGTTGAACACTGTGCCGCCAGAGCTTTTAAAAGTGTGACTAAGCGAGCATTGCAGTGAAGCATAAAAATGAGTAGAAGCGTTTGTATAAGAATGAAAGAACTCTGTATGGATATACACAATATTCTTGAATATATACGGATAAATGAGATAAATATCTATATACACAAGTCCTATATACAAAAATATTTACAAATTTTCCTATTTCTTAGCTTTGTGAAATTCTTCAAAGCAAGTCACACTTTTTGATGGAAGCACAAACCAACTTTGCAGGTTTTGCACATAAAACTTGTTTTGTGCAGCTTCTGCTTCATGCTACAATGTGCACATTGTCTACACGTACCCTTCATCAGTATGTGTTCCACACTAGTGTAGTGTTTTTCCCTGGAAACCTTTACTTTATGCCTGGGAGTATCTTCAGGTCTTGAAAGAAGTTGCCTCTTCAAAATTATTTCTGACACTTTCATGGCACAGAGGGAACACAGCAAATTTAAACGGAAATCTTTGGGCTGTAATCCGAGGGAATCCATGAAACTCTTTTAGCGCTTCAGAAAGAGTTAGACCTCTCTGCCCCTTTTATGGAAAATTAATAATACAAAAATTAACTACGATTAATATTAACAATAAAGAAAAATAAGCCTATAATATATACATACACGAAAAATATCTACAAAATTATTGAAAATAAACAGGAATGAGACTAAAAAGCGACAGCAAAAAATTTGCGCAGGTCTAAGTAAAGAGTCAAGCTACTAATAAAATTCCTGCCTAAAAACGAGCCTAAATTCGAGATGCCAATATTAGGGCTTCCATAACACAAAACACACCTCACCCCTCGGTACTTGCTTTGTTTGAATTCATTACCCCCCCCCCCAAAAAAAAAACAAAGGAAACAGAAAACGTAAACAACGGATGTTCTCTCCTAAGCATGAGATGTAACAGCATGAAATCACTAAAGGTGCAGTGTTCTGCTAATGGAACAGCCGGTTTTAGTCAATGATTCTGCGTATGGTTTTTGTATGAAAGATTTAAAAAAATATAGAACAAATAATTTGGAGTACAGCCAGCAAAATTATGCCTAATTTTTTTTTTCCCAAATAAAATTTTTTATATCATTAAAAAATAGAGAGAATTACTTGAAAAAAAGTGGATTTTAATAACACATAATAAATGAACATTCTGTGTCTCTTTGTGATATGCCGCTATCTACTGTTTAAAAAGAAAAGTTCAAAGTATATTATAAAGGCATTTTTATCTATTTACGGTTGAATTTAAAGGTTTCAGAAGCGATTCAATTTGGGTGTTCCATGTAGTGGAACACTGAGCCACAAAGGGTTAACAAATCTCCAAATGAATTATACAGAACAGGAAGAGTGTGCTCTAAACATTTGAGTGTAAATAATTTCTGCTCAACGAATATCCACTCCTTATGTTCCTGTGCAGTACCAATGAAGTTAGACTTTCTGCCTTTTTTTTTTTTTTTTTCTTTTTCTCTTTTTGAACTGGGAAGATTGCTAATTCAGTTTGAACTGTTATTTAGATTGTGATATTTTCTTCTAGTTATGGGAAAATCAGCATGAACTATATAATATTAGGGATGTTCGAATGAAAAGGTGTAAAATGACACTATGGATATATTGAAGGCTTTATTCACAAGTAATCAGCAGAGGGCTGAGCACACTTATCCCACTGTTTCAGGAGCTGAAGGATTCCCTCATGCTAGAATTCCTGTAGCTGTGACAAGAAGTAGTTCCAAGTTGAAGCACTTCCCTTTGAGATGTCAAGTCATATCAGGTCATTCACCGTGTCTCTTCTGTTAGAAAGATTGCACTTTCCAGTATGTTTTTAATGTATTTATTTGTCTAATACAAGAATCTGTGTATTAAAATAAAAAAATAAGTATATTTTTAGATCTGCATTTTTATAATGGCTACCTTTTGGTCAAAGGAAATTAAAGTTTTAAATATTACAGCATAATACTTCTTGTGACCAAAATGAATTTTCTATTGACAGGTCTCTACTAGTTTAATACTTTCATACGGAATATTTCCATACAAAAATATCCATTGATAGACATATAATAGAAATTTGTATAATTTAAATTTAATATATATAATTTAATCATAAAGCCATCCTCCTTGATTATCTTTTAATAAACCCAAATGATAAACTGGATTATTTACTTTCATTAGAAAAGTATTTAGCTTTTATTAGGAACATTTTGGTGTAATTGAAATGTGAAAATGTAGATTTTAACAGTAGTATGTATATATTATGTATCATTAACATTTATATAAAAAATTATAAATAACTTAAATGTGTCTTACAAGCATTTGTAATTGCTCTTCATACTTTGTCTAAGCTTTGGACTGCCAGCAAAATGCTGTCGTGTTTAAACTTATCAATGAATTTTTCTTTTCATTATTTTCTCTACGAAATCAATAGGCAGTTTCTAATCTATTGTATTCAAGGTAATTTCTTGAAGTGTCTCTGAGAACCATTGTTCAAAGCATTAGTTACCATTTACCATCTTGAGCTTTTCATTATATATTTTAAACTGTATTACAGTTTTGATATCAATACCCAGTTTAGAGAGCCTTTATAATCTTTTTTTTAAATTGTTCTTTGTCCTTAAGTTAATTTCGATTTTTGTGTACACCTGAATTTTTTTATTTTTGCCAATTTTTTCTAGAAAATTTTTAATCTACAAAATCTATTTGATGGTTATTGTATTTTGAACTTCCTTTTTGTGCTTTAATGAGCTGCCTAAACTTCAGCTGAAGCCTTTGCATGGGTTTATTTAGCCTGTGATTTCACCTTTCTGCAAAACACTGATATTCATGTGAGTAAAGACATTCAGCTGTCCTATAGCATAGCAGCTGTTTCTTTCTATCACACTGAAATAATCCTAAAAAGAAGTGAGATAGTAAATTCATTAATTGAATGCCTTTGGTGCTAACAGTGCTCAGAACATTACTTGAGAGGCAGGTACTTAGTAATAAAGAAGAGTTCAAATGGGTAGATCATGAAGGCTGTTTGGGATGACAAAGAATGTAAAGTGAAATACTCTGAGCTTGTCTTTCTACAGTATTATTTCTTCTATATTTTTTATTACAATATCACATTTCCACAGTGAAAATTTTATTACCCACATATTGAATGAATCAACAAATTCTCTTAATATTTGCTTATCTGAGTGATTTTCTATTTTTAATCAGCATTTATCGACGAGATGTTGAGGATTCCTTGGAATTTCTTTAGGGAATCTGACTCGTATCCCATCACTGGAAAAACTGCAAAAATTTCAATACAGCCAACTCATTCTCCAGGTAGTGATCACCAGTTTACATGCAGTTATTATAAATAAAAAGTTTTCCCCCGAATGTGAATGAACATACATAAAACAGTTTAATTGCCTTTGTTATAAATACATTTTGTCAACACAAAATGAAAATTTTGAAGAAATGATTTTGAAGTTTAACATTACTGCAACTTAACACGGCGTTTGTTTCACACGAACAACTGTTTCGGACAATTTTTCTTCCTTGGTTTACTACCGAGAGAAAGATGCACAATTTTTCCCTTCCGTTCGAAAAAAATTGCAATTTGTTCGTTTTTAACCAATCAGCTATCAGCTTCGAGTCTCTCATCATCGTCATCATCAACCAAAACAACATTCAAGATGGTGGACTGCAATGGCGGCAAGTGGTGTTCAGAAATCGAAGCTGAACTTATCGAAGAAGTGAGGCAAAGGCGGTGTTTATGGAATATTACAGATACAAGTTACACCAAAAACTTCTAAAGTGGAATGCTTACATCACAATCGTTCAGCATCTCGCAGAAAAATGGCCTGAATATGGACATACGTTTACGCCTAATAAGTTTATTATTGCATTTTGTGCTATTAATTAAATATAAACATTTACTATGTATGTATAAATATATCATTTGATGCTTTTTCATGTTACATAAGCGAAATTGCATAAAGAAAAGCATATATTTTCCATTCGCAATATCTGGGAAAACACAGGGGGCTTTATATAGTTTGTCGCCAAAACAAACGGCAAATTTTCGCTGAATTATGTTTGTAAACATAATTGTGATTCACCGCGTTAATTTACCAGGTGAATTTAAAAATTTACTTATGTGAAAGCAAGTGACACAATTACTTCCATACCCGTGAAAATGATTTATTTATGTATATGGGTATAATCTATACTGCAAAGGAGCATATTTTACGAAAATGCAATGGATCACCTGACCCTCAAATTAGGGCATATGAAGTGATGCATTGCATATTGTTCATTTTCAAAAGATATAGCTAGTATAAAAACCTTTAAATTTCCGAATGTAATTGTACCAGTTAAAACTTCGAAATCTGATTTTTATTTCAGAAACAGATTTTCTGGTAAAATTATTATTTAAAAAGTAAATAATGAAAGTAAAATTTAAAAGTAAATAAAATTAACTGCAAAACTGACTTAAAAAAAAAAAAAAAAAAAAAGGATCAATACATAAATAGAGACTTATGTGTCCTTTGAAAAATATTAAGGTAAATTTAAGAATATATTTAAATCTAATAGAGGGCTCTGTCAAGGATATAAATTTTTGAAAAGAAAGAATCATATAATGCAGTGTTTAATGAAATTTACAGTGGCTGAGAATATGAATATACAGACATTTTTAATTTGTGCATTTGTTTATATAAGCATATTTGTGCATATAACTTTATTTGTGAGAATAAGGTATACAGTACAAAGTCTTTAAATCCGAACATCCATAATCCGGACCTCAAAGCTACAAACTTTCTGTGCATGCATAGTGTTTATGCATGCGCATAATACGTTTATGCATGCACGTTTAATGTGTAATGGACGGTATAAGCTAGGCTAAAATTATCTATTTCAGTTAAGGTTGCAGATTGCATTGTTCCTTAATCTTCTAATTGGATCCGGCTTATTATTTTTTGCAGACTGTTAGAGCAATTTTATAAAAAGAAAGCTTGAACTTTTGATTATGTCAAAAAGAGTTTCTGATTCTGGAGCTGCCAAAGGATATACAAAGCGAAAGCATGTTTCGATGTCCATCAAGCAAAAAGTGGAATTGCTGCAAAAAATGGGTAAAGGCGTGAAGAAAGTGACAGAGAGGTTAGTGAAAACGAAAAAATTTTGATTGACAAGTTAGTTGGTATTCTCGGCACAGCAATTACAGGACTGGAACAGTGGAACTTTGTAACTGAACAAGAAATTATGTCCGTTTATAGAATTAAAGAGAAGCAACTTAAACAACTTACATTGAAAGAAATGTTTAATAAAGTAAACAAATAAATATTAAGCTCTCTCTCTCTCTTTTTTTTTTTTTTGTAAATTTTGATACCCTTTAGATCATAATAGCTCTTTATTTCATAAATTATGGTTTCATATTTTTAATTGTATAATTTCTGCATGCCATCTTACCAGACTTAAATTGATGATCTATAATCTGGAAAAATCCCTAATCCAGAATCGCCGAAGTCCTACGAGTCCGGATTACAGACTTTGTACTGTATTTGCAAAACATAATCATCCATGTAAATTTGAAGAAGCGCATGTTAGAAGAGTGCTGAATGCAGAAATGATAATCAAAATATGTTTAGTTAATTCATACAGCACATTCTACTTTCACACTTTGTAATACACATGTCAAACCTGCTAGAATAGCAGTTTCATGAAAGACAGAACATAATGCAGGCATAGAAAAAGTTTGTTACACATGAAAAACTTACTGAAGAGGAATGAATTTAAAAATTGGGAAAATGAAAATGCTTTCAGTTTTCAAATAAATGTATACGAAATCAATATACTTTACCTGCTTTCGGATACTGTGTGCACATAATTGAAAGTTCTGAATAACAAAAAATAAATAATAGTGCATAGTGACAAAGTTTGTATCCTTTCCAGTAACTGAAAGCCAAGATTTATGGGGGGGGGAAACGTTTTTACTATTTCAGAAGTATCTTTTAAAGTATTATTAAAAGGGCAGGGTATCGAAATCTGGGATGAAGTATGTAATTGTAAAGGTGCCTGCCACAATATATGACTTAAAAAGCTCAGAAGTAGTTCAAACTAATCTAGTTATTTCAAATTTTCTAATCTATTGAATTATTTAAAATATTTTAACTTTATCTTTGGATTTTGGATATTTTTCTGTTGTGCACCTTTTCATATCATTTCCTTGCATATTTTTCTGTTTCTGGCACGCTTTTTGGCACAAACATGGCTGGCCATTACCTGCCACATACTGTGCATGTGTTTCTGTGTGTATGTTTGTGCCATCTATAAACTATTCATATGATTAGTAATTGTTAAAATTTTTCGTTGATCTTATAATTGGAGAATAACAGCCAAAACTAAATTTGATAATAAAAATTACGGTTATGACTTTATCTTCACTTAGAAAAGATCTTAAGTCATAGCATACTTACCACATGATATTACACATTTATTGCATCAGATATTTAAAAGAAATCCTGTGCAAAAATTAATTAATAGATTTGTTTTCCAAGTATAATTTGATTGCATGATCTAACTGTACAATCTCTTGAAATATGCAACAAAAAAAAGGGGGGAATTAAAATCTTTTCAAAGATGTCATTTTTTTATTTGCAGGCCAGCACTGAAACCTCAAGCACTAGTCCTGCATATAGTTCATGATTGGTTCTAGTATATAAATTAGGTTTTATATCATTCGGCTTTAGCTTCGCTAGCTGTATTTGCTTTCTCAAGCTCTGGAACCAAAGCTGAATAGAAGCATGTTACTTTCTACTTAAAGTTTTAATTTCTTCATAATACATTTTCTTTAATTTTTACATAATTTTTTTTTCTTACTTCTTTGCTGAGTGGTTTTTGGTGCTTAATTCAACATTAACACTTTTGAAATTTTTGTGCAAAAAATTCAGTTTACAATCTTACATAATTTAGAAATTGATGCATAAAGATAGTAGCAGCAGAGAGAGAGAGAATGCGACTTTCTAAGATGAAAGCTTGGTTCAGAAGGATTTAGTTATAATTTAGCTTTTTCCTTATTGGTTGCTGTAAGTTTTGGCTCCTAAATTTGAAATCATAATTAGTTGAAGCCTTATATAAGTGCCCGTAGATTAATTTTAGTTAAGAATCATATCACAGTTCAAACATTAATTTCAATATTTGTGACAGTAAGCAAACAGATGGAGAAACCAATCTAAGTAAAATAATGTAAAGTTGCTAAATTTTTGTTACTTTAATTGAAAAGCGTCTTTACATTCAAAAATTATTCCTCTTTTTAAAACTACGTAACCATCTAGTTGCTGCTTTTGGAAAATCTTATTGCAACTCTTCTAACATATATAGCTTCTTTTGTCATGAAATTTGACGTACATTGTCCAAGTGATTGAAAATATTTGGAACATTCACATATGTAAAATCGATACACCGAGTAGTATGGAAAATTTCATGCATATTATGATTTTCTGAAAGTTATTAGCTATAGTAAAGCCAGAGATTATTTGAATGGAATTTTTGCTCTTATTATTAAGTTAGCATTAGTATTTCTGAATTTATTTTTCTTTCCCATTTAGGTCTTTAAATCTAAAGCCAGTGGATATAATACAGGTAGCAAACATGATCTTCAATCAATTGATGATATTGTAGTTGAAAGTGTAAGTTGTAAATCATAATCACTCCAGGATGGAATAATAGAAGAAATTTTACGAACTGAGTTCCATATCAAGATTTGCCATTAGGCCACTATCTCTAATGTAGCTCATGTCATAATTCAATCCAAAAAGTTAGTGGAGCATACATACAGTTACAAATTTGATGAAAATATGTATTCTTGAACGTTAAATATAATAGACTTTTGGCATCATATCAATACATTTGCAGCAGTTCACTGTGCCCTGTAACAACTGTTGAGTCTGACATGGAATCAAATACCCTGAATAACTTAAGTGTTTTAGGAGCTCTAACAACAGGCAATGGGTTTCCTCAAAAATAATAAAAACTCAGTATTATGAACGTCAAATATATGTTACAGTACATGTTTTTCTCTTGTGAATTACTGGTCATTGAATTTTATGTGAGGGACTCGATGTAGAATGCCATGGCAGAAGGAAAAAATTGGCAAAGGTACATGGAGACAAATATAATGATATTTTTTGTTGTATAATAGCTGTAACGGTTGGTGAATGGTGCAAGAGAAGTTGTGGGAATATTTCAGTAGGCACATCATGTATTATAGGCAAGGCCACTCAAAAGATATTATTTATTGGTGTCAGAAATAAAGTGTGTCTTATCTTTCAGTCAGTCAAACAAGGCAAAATAAAAGCAAAAGAGCAATTTTCTTCGAAGAACTGAAACAATTCTTCGCTGGGAATGGAAAGCTATATGATAATAGAAGGCTTTTAGTTCTCAGAAGAATTGCATGTTATTCATTTGTAGGCCGAGTTTTAAAATTTGACTGCGCAAATCATGCTGTGCAAAGATATGGACGAGCACTAGAGAAACTGTTGTATAGCAGCATCAGGTTTTCAGCAGCAAATGGCATTGAAGCCAAAAAAATAAATAAATAAATAAATAAATAAGAGCCATATGTCGAAACTAACACAAAGTGCAGGGGCAGCTATAAAAAAAACTTGCTGTTTCAAACCATACAGAACCAACTCGGAAGATAATAGATACATTAGTACAGGAGTTGCAAAATTTGCCAAGCATTCATGATGCTTGGCAAAGTAAGATGGTTTTTCTGCAAATGAAAGTTTGCTGATCCAGATGAATCTGTTTTTGAGATGAGTATTTCATTTTGAATTTGAGTATTTTACAAACATAGCTGTTATGGCATTTCAAAGTCCTGCACAACAGTGGCAAAGGGCACTTTGAAGAAGTTTCCAAACACCTTTAGATTTTTTTAAATTCCTGGGGGAAAAAAGTGAAATTTGAAGAGAATAAAAGTTGCAGATTATTTAATCTTAAAGAAAAGAAAAGAATTCAGAGTTTTTTTTTTAACATTAAAAGTGGTGGAGCACAGGAGCTGTTTCTGCGGATGTACCTGAAAGCACTCAAACCTACACATCCTAGCCTAAGCAAATTAAAAACCAAAAATTGTATTTGATTTATAACAAATAAAAACAATCAAGTTTTAGATGCTGAAAAACGAATGATGTTTGTTCTTTGAAACTGTTTTTGCCAGCTATCATCAGATAGAAGAAAATGACTCAATTTTGTTAACATTTTAAAATTTAGTAGTATATATTAGAGAAAATCGGTTGGTTCTATGCCACAGGGAACTGTTCGTCCTGTTCGTGACGTCCCCCCAGATTGCAATAAGCGGTGTCAGGCACATGTCGCATCCTTGGCTTTGCGAGCTGCTTTGAAAGTAACTGGAGTCAGCCTGGAACTATTCATGGACCTGGATAAACATTTATTTAATTGAACTGGGTATTCATGATGGCATTTCGATGATATTATATTGACTGACTGTTAGTAACAACAAATACCTTCCTAACTAGAATCCAACGTAGCCTTCCAACTATATCATCTATTTAGATGAGAATAATCTTTATGGGTAATTATTCATTTTTCTGTTTTTCTTTAAATTATAATTTTTTTACTTCTCATGGATTTTTGTTTTGATTCTAAATGTTTTTTTCTTTTGTTTTAGCTGGGTGATAAGCCAACCTCTTCCCATGCATGGGTTTGAATGAGTGCATGAACCCATTGATTATATGAATATCTCAGATGATGCTGATGAGGGCTGCTTCCTAGAAGTGGATTTAGAGTATCCAGCAGAGCTGCACAACTTCACAATGATTACCCACATCCACTGGAGCAAATATTGTCTGATTATTCCCGAAATATAGCAAATAAGCTCCAGCTCATCGTTGGCAACAGTGTGAAGTTAGTTCCGAATCTTTTCTCAAAGCAGCATTATGTCATCCATTAAAAAAATTATACTTGTCCTTGGGTCTCAAAGTCATACAAATCCATAGGGTGCTTAAATTCAAGCAATCTCCATGGCTAAAATGTTATATTTTATTCAATACTGAGCAACAGAATCGGGCCAAAACAAGCTTTGAAAAAAGATTTTTTCAAGCTTCTAAACAATGCTGTTTTCAGAAAAACGATGGAGAATCTTAGAAAAGGGCCCAAATCGATCTACTACTACTGATTAGTTACTGATGAAAAGAGAGCTAAGAAACTTGTGCCTTCTCCAAGTTTCCAAGCATTCCATCAAATAACAGAAGAACTAGTAGCTGTAGGATGAAAAAAAAATTATTTGATGTTGAACTGTCCTCTGTTCAGGTTTTTCAATTGTAGACAATTGCTGCCTAGATGGTGTAGTGGTTAATGATCCTGACTGCCGTAGCCATGGGCTCAGGTTCGAATCCTGGAAAAGGCATGGTTGTAACTGTCCATCCCTTCATAGGAGGTAATGGTGACCAACTATTAGGTGCTTTCATAATGAAATGGCTACCACTTCCAGCCCTTGTAGTGACACAAGGCCAATGGCTGTTAAATAAAGTGCGTGGCCATTATTTAAAAAAAAAAAAAAAAAAAGAAACTTATACAATTATGTTTTCACTCTTTCCATTATGAGTACATAAACTCAAATATGTAGCTAATTCCACGCTTCTTTTTACCAATACTGATAGTCTTTATTTGTTGGAAACCAAAGACATTTATGTGGATATAAAGGCTTATGTAGCTTTTGGATACATTTGGCTATCCACCAGATCACCCTCTTTTAGTACGAGCAAAAAAGTTCTCTGGAAGATGAAAGATGAATTAGCTGGTGAAATCTCTCATGAGTTTGTAGGACTAAAACCTACAATGTTCAGCCTACTTGGTAGTTGCATGGAAAAGAAGACAGCCAGTGGAGTGACCAAATGTATTATAAGACATCATATTCATCATGCAGATAATAAGCAGTGCCTTCTTTATCACAGTCGTGAACTCACATCCAGTCAATGCATAACTAGCAGATGCCATGAATTACAAACTGTATATTACGCCAAGTCGATACTGTGTCCTTTTGATACTAAGAGATGTCACACTTGCTTATGGACATTATCAAATAGAGGTGCGAAATTTATAACACATTTACTCATATTTCTCTGTACATTACTATATTTTCTTCAATGTAAATAGAGAGGTAAAAATTGACACACATACTTAGAATGACATGGGGTTTTATTAGAACAAAAAAAAGTTCAAAAAATGTCTGACGGATGGCGCTGGACAGCAAAACATCAGTGACTGCACATGAAAATCGTGTATAAAAGGAGCTGTAATGAGAATCAGATGCACCAGCAGTCACAGCATGTTGACGTTACCTGAAAAGGCGCTTTTAGTGAAGCTGTATTATCAGAATGGGGAATGTGCTAGTTCAGCATTACGATCCTATCAGGTAAAGGTCCGTTGACAAATCCAGGTGTGGCGAGAATGATTTCGAAGTTCGAGGCCACGGGTTGTTTACAAGATAGACCCCGTAGTGGCCGACCGAGCACAAGGCGTAATGCTGCTGAGACAGTTCAGGAAGAAATGGAGACTGTAGCGGGTTCGTCTATGCACAGGGAAGTCAGCGCTCGTGCAGTCGCACGTCGCACCGGCATTCCATACACTACTGTTTGGTTGGCACTTAGGCATACCCTCTGATGCTATCCTTACAAAATCCATCGGCATCATGAACTGTTATCTGGCGATTTAGTGAAGTGGATGGCATTTGCGGTGTGGGCATTTCAAAAGATGGTGGAAGATGACGATTGGTTGAGTAATGTGTTGTGGACCGAGGAAGCTCATTTCACGCTCCGAGGGTCTGTCAAGGCCCACAACTGCAGAATTTGGGCTACAGAAAATCCTAGAACTGTCGTGGAAACTCCATTGCACGACGAGAAAGTCACAGTATGGATTGGATTTACCACATCTACTGTTATCGGGCCTTTTTTCTTCGAGGAAATACATGATTCTGGTTTTGTAACTGCTACCGTGACGGATGAGAGGTACGCCAATATGTTACAGAATCGCATCGCCCCCAGCCTGGCTGATAAACACCTGCTGGAATGTACGATTTTTATGCAGGATGGCGCTCCACCCCATATTGTTAAACCCGTGAAAGATCTCTTGTGCACGTCGTTTGGTGATGATCGTGTGCTCAGCCGCCACTTTCGTCATGCTTAGCCTCCCAGGTCCTTAGACCTCAGTCTGTGCGATTATTGGCTTTGGGGTTACCTTAAGTCGCAAGTGTATCGTGATCGATACATGTATCGTGATCGTGATCTAGGGAAGCTGAAAGACAACATCTGACGCCAATGCCTCACCATAACTCCGGACATGCTTTACAGTGCTGTTCACAACATTATTCCACGACTACAGCTGTTGTTGAGGAATGATGGTGAACATATTGAGCATTTCCTGTAAAGAACATCATCTTTGCTTTGTCTTAATTTGTTATGCTAATTATTGCTTTTCTGATCAGATTGTTGCTTATCTAATTATTGCTTTCCTAATAAAAACCCATGTTATTCTAAGTATGTGTGTCAATTTTTACCTCTCTATCTACATTATTCTGTGATTAAGTTTTCAAATTTATACTGACTTTTTGATCACCCGGTACATATCCTTTTGAAATATTTATATAATCATGTACATATTTTAAAATGTTTATACATAATCTTCCTTGATGAATTTAGTTTATAGTGTATTAATTTAAAATTATTTGTACATAATTTTTTGGAAAATTAGAAAGCAAATTATTCTAAATAATATCAAATTTCCTAAGTGTTTAATAAAAGTGACATTTATTCATGTATGTATGCTTTTTCTTAAAAGCGTATTACAAGGTTATCAATTTATTAGTGAAATCTGAGTTATTATTGAACTGTTAGTCAATTATTTCATAAAATTGAACTAACTATAACTATAAATAGAATTAATTTTTTAATAAAACTTAAGTTGACATGGAAGTCTTAAAATTAAAGCATCCTTTCACAGTGTTAGTTGCCAAACCTAGGAGCAGCAGAAAGACTGTGTTCATTAAAAAATTAATTGAACATCATATGATGACTCTGTTTCTTTCTAAAATTATTTGGTTCTATGGTACTTATCAAAGTGAGATTTAAATTTTTTTGCATTGTTCGTTTAGAAAGATATGTGTGAAAGGTCTAGGGGGGGGAGAAATTTTTTCAAGATTTTACCTGAAGAAGTGAAAAGAAAGAAGTGACCAGTTTGCATGATGTAAACTGTTTCCATTTCCATGAACATTTTGTTATATGTGTTTGTATTGAAAATTTGAATCTGAATCAGCAGTTGCATTGCATTATAATATCCCCTGTAATCTATGCATAAAAGCAGCTGTCAAATCAGCAGCTATGTGAACAACAGTATTAAATTTTTAAGAAACCCTTCAGTGTTATACATTCTGAAGATAGAAATTATTGTTTTTATAAACTCATTCAGTCTTAGTTACCCAAGCTTTATCACTTAATGTAAAAATAAGAAAGGAAATAAAATATTATAATACAAATATTAATATTTACTTATTTCCTCTGTCTAAATATCCTGTCTCCCAGCTGCAGAGTCAAAACATTCCGATAATTTTCTCATTTAGTTTAAGGAAATAATGAAAATTAGAAAAAAAATCATGCTTTATGTGTACAGTGATAAATTACTGTTAAGTATTGTTGCGTGCGTACGGGTTCGTTACGAAATGAATGCACAAGTCCGATGAAAAATGAACAAAATTTATTCTTATCACAAGAAATGCTTAAATTCTCTCAAATAATCTTTGCAGTTATCACATCTCACACAGTAGTTATCTTCTAACTACTCAAACGTTCAAAAGAACTTAATTCAAAACAGCTAAAGAAAGCTAATCGCGAATTCGCTACAGTCAACAAGAGCAGTTTTCTAAAAAAACTCTAAACAACAACAAACTAAGAATAACTACTACGAACTGAGAAGTTTTCCTCCGCTTTTATAAGATTTTAAAATGCGCGAGAATTTTCTAGAACTTTCTCGAAATCAAAAAGAGATATTTATTTATTAAATGTTAAATGCACACGCTCTTGTATTTTCAATTTTCCGGCTTAGCTTTCTTTTAATAGTCGTCACGCGCTGCACTGCGCGGGGAAATAAAACCATTTAATTTACCATTCAACTAACATAAGCTATTTAAACACCAAATCCGTAACACTGCCCCTTTTCAAGGACTGCACGTCCCGGGCAGTACAATCCCCGGACAGGAAGCCAAACCTTACAACTAATGCATAAATGCAATAATAAACATTACATTGCAATAACAAACATCATAAAGAATAAATGCAATAACTAACTTTAAACAAATCAAATACTAAATACAAATTAAATGCAAAACAAATACTAAATACACATTTAGAAACAAAAAGGACCGTGGTCTTACACTATTTACAATTATTTACATTACGTACTATGGCCATAGTAATGAGCTATCCTGTCGTAATGAACGACTTTAGGTTTAGAGTTCGATGACTTACGGATCCGAACCACGACGTCATTCAGTTTTGTTTAGGACTGCGTAAGGACCATCCCAAGGTGACTGTAATTTCGGACAGAGTCCTTTCGGACGAGTCGGATTCCACAACCAAACCTTTGTCTCCTTTCGTTGGAATTGATGTCCAGTAGCTCTTGTGTCGTATCGGCCCTTCATCTTCTCCGTCGCCAAGTTAACTCGCTCTCGTGCAAAGTTGTGCATCACTTCAAACCAGGCCCGGAGATCTTGAATATATTCCTCAGGTGATGAACGTGCATCGGGAGGGCGACCAAGCAAGAGATCACAAGGCAGACGAAGAGCATCTGTGATGGGGAATAGCCTTTAGTCTCGTGGACAGCACTGCGGTAAGCCAGTAAAAACAGTGATAATTTCTTGTCTCAGTCCTGCTAGTTTCTTGAAACTACTAATGAGAGCTTATTAAGGATGGTTCGATTGAACCTCTCTACCATGCCGTCCGATTGGGGATGTAATGGCGTCGTTTGGGTTTTGTCAATGTCCAGTAGTTTGCAGAGTTCTTTGATTACTGCCGACGTAAAATTCCTTCCCTGATCGGAATGTAACTGAAGAGACACTCCGAACTTTGGAAATCCAGTGCTGTAGCATCACCTCAGCTACTGTGACAGCCTCTTGATCAGGAATAGGATACGCTTCAGGCCACCTGGGGAAGTAATCAATGACAACGAGTATGTACTTGTTGCCATCAGCAGTTCGTGGCAGAGGTCCCAAGATATCAAAGGCGATACGTTCAAAAGGCGCACCTACGTTGTAACGTTGCAGCTTGAGTCGGCTGCACTTCCTCGGTCCTTTCCGACCTGCACAGGCATTGCAAGATCAGCACCACTTTTGCACGTCATCCTTTGCATTATTCCAGTGAAATTGTTCACGAACTCTCTGCAAGGTCTTCATTATTCCAAAGTGACCTTCTGTAGGGCTGTTGTGTGGTTCTTTAAGGACATCAGGATCTTGGAAGTATCAGTTGCCATCGGAAAGTCTTCCCATCATCCGATTCGAATTTCCAGTATAAGACGCCGTTTCGAATGTGAAGTGAATCCCAGAGTGCCCAGTATTGTTTTGTTGTGGGACTATAGATAGAAATGTCCTGCCAGATAGGTTTTCGGTTTGATGACTCCATTAAATCAATTATGGGTTTAATGTCACGGTCTGCCTTTTGGTCTTTCCTGACTTCATCATCACTCCACGGGTCTCGATCAGCCGATGTTGATGTCGTAATTTGTCGTGCGACCGGACTCAGTAGCTCGTTTTCGATTCGACCCTGGAACAATATCGGCAGCTTTCAGAGCAAGGTCTTCTAGACAGGGCATCGGCGTTTCCGTGTGATGATCCCCTTCGATGACGGATAGTGATATCATATTCTTGTAGTCTCCGTATCCACTTGACTATTTAACCCTCAGGATTCTTGAAATTTAAAAGCCAGGAAAATGATGCATGATCAGTGCGGAGCAGGAATTTTCTGCCGTATAGATAGTGATGGAAATGTTCTGCGGCTTTGACTATAGCGAGCAACTCTCTCCTGGTGACAGAGTAATTCCTCTCCGGTTTAGACAGGCACTTACTCCAGTAAGCCACTACACGCTGTTGGCCTTCTATTTCTTGGGACAAAAACATCACCGACACTTTCATTGCTCGCGTCCGTGTCGAGAATAAATGGTCTGTCGAGCTGAGAACACGTTAGGATTGGAGCAGATGTTAAAGCTTCCTTTAAGTTGTTAAATGTATCCTCGCATTCTTTCGTCCACAAGAACGTTTGCTTGCTCTCTGTCAGCTTGTGAAGGGGTCTTGAGATGGAAGAAAAGTCCTTCACGAATCTTCTATAGTAGGTGCAAAGCCCTAGGAAGCTTCTCAGCTGATGGACATTTTTAGGACGTTTCCAGGATTTAACGGCTGACACCTTTCAGGATCCGTACACACGCCTTCTGCAGAGATCACATGTCCCAGGTAAGTCACTTCCTTTTGGAACAATTTGCATTTAGCGGGACTCAGCTACAGATTGGCTTCTTTAAGTTTCTGAAGCACCTTTCTAAGATTTTCTAGATGCTCTTCAAAACTCTTTCCGACGATGAGGTTGTCGTCAAGGTACATCAGACAGGCTTCATAAAAAGACCTTTCAAAACAGTCTCCATGAGGCGTTCGAATGTTGCCGGCGCATTACACAGTCCAAACGGCATCACCTTGAATAGCCAAAGCCCTTGTACCGTAGTAAATGTCGTCTTTTCTCGGTCTTCAGACTGTATTTCTACCTGCCAATACCCACTCTTTAAATCAAGTGTTGAAAACCACTTGCTTCTAGAAGGAGTGTCTAGAATGTCGTCAATTCTAGGAAGAGGGTAACTTTCCTTCTTCGTAACCTCATTCAACCGGCGATAGTCGCACCTACGTTGCCGGCAACGTAGGTGCGACTATCGCCGGTTGAATGAGGCAAAATCTTGTTGAACCATCTTTCTTTCGGACTAGGACGACGGGAGATGCCCATGGAATTGCTGAAGGCTCGATGACATCGCCTTCTTCCATATCCTTTTAAGTGTTCGCACCTCTTCCTGCTTAGCAAACGGCAAAAGTCTTGGATGTTGCTTGATCGGGGAATGATCGCCGGTATCAATTCTATGATGTGTCAAACTGGTTCGACCCACATCAGAAGACGAACGGGAGAAAACAACTTGAAGAACTTTAATGACGCGATCGGCAGCATTCCTCTCTTCATCGTTTAATTGTGCATAGTGCAATAACTCCGATGTAATGCTCTCTGAGAACACAGATTCTCTCTCGCCTTCTCAGTTAACACTCTGAGAACACTCTCGCCTTCTCAGTTACATTGGCGACTCTCACCGGCCATAACCGATCTGGATAGGTCGACGAGTGTGGACTATAGATCGTGGCACTATAGATAGAAATGTCCTGCCAGATAGGTTTTCGGTTTGATGACTCCATTAAATCAATTATGGGTTTACTGTCACGGTCTGCCTTCTGGTCTTTCCTGACTTCATCATCACTCCACGGGTCTTGATCAGCTGATGTTGATGTCGTAATTTGTCATTTAGTTTAAGGAAATAATGAAAATTAGAAAAAAAAATCATGCTTTATGTGTACAGTGATAAATTACTGTTAAGTATTGTTGCGTGCGTACGGGTTCGTTACGAAATGAATGCACAAGTCCGATGAAAAATGAACAAAATTTATTATTATTACAACAAATATGCTTAAATGTCCTCAAATAATCGTGCAGTATCACAATATATCACAGTAGTTATCTTCTAACTTCTCAAACGCTCAAGAGAACTTAATTCAAAACAGCTAGAGAAAGCTAATCCGCGAATTCGCTGCAGTCAACAAGAGCAGTTTCCTAAAAATACTCTTAAAACAACAAGAAACTAAATGACTAACAATAACGAACTGAGAAGTTTTCATGCCGCTTATATAAGCTTTTTAAATGCGCGAGAATTTTTTGGAATTTTCTCGAAATCAAAAAGAGGTATCTATTTATTAAATGTTAAATGCACGTGCTCTTGTATTTTTAATTTTCCGGCTTAGCTTTCTTTTAATATTCGTCACGCGCTGCACTGCACGGGGAATAAAACAATTTAATTTATAATTCAACTAACATTAGCTATTTAAATACCAAGTCCGTTAACAGTATCTTAACCTATTTATGAACCGTGCTCATTTTTAATAATGCAAAAATTAAAACATGTAATAATTCAAGTAGTATGTAATTCAAGGCAGTCTTAACAACTAATATATAGTTGATATCCATGGACACAAAACACAGAGTATATAATCAGAAAAATATCAACTAGACATTGATTTACACGACTCTCAAACTTCGGTAAAAGCCTTATTATTCGTCTGAAAACTGTAGGATAGTCAGCACACCTTTGTATGGGAAACAGCTCCAGGAAGACCCCTTTAAAAGAAAATTTATCATTATCAGCAGGGCTGAATTAAGCAATATAAGCAATATAATATTTGGGCATCAAGGA